GGATAGCGGTTAGACAAAAAGCAGCTACCCAATCCAATGCCATGACTCAAACAAAAACACAAAATATCATGCCGGATCGGTCGGGGCCCGGATTAACAACGACCGCGCTTCCTGCTGCCGTGTCACAGGGCAGAAGTGATAAATACGCTACTGAGACACACCAAATAAAAAAGAACAAACAAAAACAAGCCGTGTGTGACCGGCCTCAAGCAGTTGTCCCCTGGGCTCTGCGGTCACGCAACCAACTTCCACGGTGTGGGCAGCCGGGAAGTAACAATCGCCCTCACACTCCAAATTGCACCCGAAACCTCTCTATTCCTCACTCATCTTTGTATCCATCTTCATCTCTATTATCTTGCCTTCCTTCTACCAATGCAACTCCTCTACTTGATGGCCCTTCACTTCCTCTTCAATCTGTGTGCACTGATAACGATGGAAGCCAAAAAGCCACCATCGATAGTCTCCTAAAGCCACGTCACCAATTTCATATAGGGGCACTTAATGTTAGGACACTTTGCCAAATAGGACAACAGGCATCACTAGCCAAGACTCTGGCATCCCGAGCCATTGATGTATGTTGTGTTTCAGAAACGCGCATACAAGACCCAAGTGTGGTTATTCACCTAACCCCACCTGGCCAACAGGATGAATCTGCAAAATTCACCTTGAGGGTGTCAGGAGATGAGACGGCTAGCTCTCGAGGATTAGCTGGTGTTGGGATAGCTCTGAGTACTAGGGCAGAAAAGACATTACTTGACGGGATCCCGGTAGATAGCCGAATGTGTGCTGTCCGTCTGGACGGATCAGTGAAAAGGAGAAAGGACTGCACTACTCGCCGATGCCTTTTCGTAATCTCCGCCTACGCCCCCACTGACTGCAGTTCGGATGAAACGAAGGATGAGTTCTACCAAAAGCTGTCTAGTTTGCTGCGAAAGGCTAAACGCTCAGATATAGTCGTTTTAGCTGGTGACTTTAATGCTCAAGTGGGGAAATTGTGTCAATCTGAGGAGAATGTCGGTGGCACATACGGAATTCCGTGCCAGCGAACCGACAACGGTGACCGTCTCCTACAGTTCTGTTCAGATAATCATTTGTTTCTTGTAAGCACTAACTTCAAACACAAGGAGAGACACTGTTTGACCTGGCGACCCCCATCATCAAATCAATGCTGGACACAAATAGATCACATAGCAATAAGCTATCGTTGGTGTGGGTCGGTAGGAGATTGTCGCTCCTTCTGGAACACGAGTGTAGATACCGATCACGCACTGGTCCGCGCTCGTGTGTGCTTACGACTGAACGGACGTAGGAAACAGCTGGCGGTAAACCCATCATGCCCCCAGCTCGATCAGGAAACCAAGTCCCTATTTGAGGAAGAACTAGCTAAACACATATCTGAGTTCGACAGCTGTGCTCACCCTGAAGAAGCCTGGAAGAATATTCAGTCAGCCATAGATACAGCTGTAAAAGCTGTGAATAAGGTAGATCCAAAGGTGAGTAAAAACCATTGGATTTCGACTGCCTCATCCGAACTGATAGATGCTAGAAGATTTATTCCGGCGAGCTCCGAATTCAATGAGGAGCGAAAGCTGCACAAAAGGAAACTTACGAAAAGTCTCCGCAAGGACCGTGAACAGTGGTGGTTGACAAAGGCGAAAGAGATGGAAAAAGCATCGGCGATAGGCAACACCAGACAACTATTCAGGCTTATCAGGGAAACAGGTGGTGAAAGGCAAATGATAAGCGAAACAATCTCTGAGAAAAATGGCACCATAATTAGCTCCCAGGATAGACGTCTGGAGCGCTGGAAAGAACACTGTGAGGAACAGTTTAATTGGCCCACATCCACACTTAGCCTGCCGGACATCCAACACCTCCCTGAATGGGATATAGACACAGGTCCTTCGTCCCTAGCTGAGGTTACTAGAGCAGCCACTAATCTGAAGCAAGGCAAAGCAGTGGGACCCAATGGATTGACTCCAGAGGTATTTAAGTACGGTGGAGACAGTTTACTGTCTGCGTTAACTGAGGTTCTAGGCAGCGTCTGGGAATCAGAGGAAGTCCCATCGGATTGGTGCAAGTCACTGATTATCCCGATATACAAGAAGGGAGACAAGTCTTTTTTTTTTTTTTTTGATTTACAGCTTGATTTCCACACCGTATTTTCAGTACAAGTGTGGAACTTTCAGCATGGATATCGGTTGCCCAAATTCAGGCATACCATAGATATCGGGTGTGCGCCGGCAGGGGTTCGAACCCCGGACCATGTGCATGGTCGGCGAGAGTCCTAACCACTGTGCCACCGACGCACAGAGGGATTAGCTTGACTAATATAGTGTCTAAAATCCTAGGCTCAATAATACTGCGTAGACTAAGTGGTGCTCGGGAGGCACAAACACGAGAAAACCAGGCAGGTTTTAGGCCAGGCAGAGGGTGTATTGATCATATCTTCACCCTCCGACAGATTCTAGAACATAGGCATTCCTACCGGCGTCCAACAATCATTATCTTTCTTGACCTAAAGGCGGCATTCGATTCTGTCGACCGAGAGGTTCTCTGGCGATGCTTGGCTGTAAAGGGAATGCCGAGAAAATACATTGCACTGATTAAGGCACTCTACTCGTACTCATGCAGCCAGGTGAGGGCTTATGGCGAGTTGTCATCTGAAGTGGTGACGACTAGTGGCGTCCGTCAAGGAAGCCCATTATCCCCATTCCTATTCAACTTCATCATAGACGTATTAATGGACTTAACCCTAACTCACTTCAGCGACTCAGGGATTGACTTGCTACCAGGGAATAATCTCGTCGATTTAGAATATGCAGACGATGTAGTCCTTCTAGGCGAGGACTCTGACAAAATGCAGAGTCTTCTGAACACCTTGAGCAGCAATCTTCGTATGTTTGGCATGCGATTCGCCCCTGTAAAGTGTAAGATGATGTTGCAGGATTGGACTACACCGACCCCTAGATTAGAAATAAGAAGTGAAGTGGTAGAGCACGTTGACCGCTTCAATTACTTGGGAAGTACCATCAGCCAATGCCAACGGGTTGATCTCCGACGAAATATCAGCACGAATACAGAGGGCTAGGTTCGCATACGCCAGTTTACGCCGTCTCTGGCGTAGACGCGATATCCGACTATCGACCAAAGGGCGTGTGTACTGCTCAACAGTCCGCTCCGTCCTCCTTTATGGCTGTGAGACGTGGCCATTGAGAGTGGAAGACATGAAAAGATTATCTGTGTTCGATCATAGGTGTCTGCGTTCCATCTCCCGCGTGAAGTGGTATAATAAGGTGAGCAATATTGAGGTTAGGCGTTGAGTGATAGGTAAGGAGGGGAAATCAGTCGGCGAGACTGAAATTACATCGACTGAGGTGTTTAGGACACGTGTTACGTTTGCCTAGTCATCGCCTTCCTCGACAGGCAATGTTAGCTGATATAGGGTCAGGTTGGAATAGAGCTAGCGGCGGTCAAACGAAAACATGGCACCAGTCAATGAAATCTACAACAGTTAGTCTAAGCCAAGATGAAAGGTGTAGACTTCCTGGATGGTTGAGTTCCTCGGGACGGTAAAAACCAATGGTTGGAAACCATTGGTGACATGACTCAAAATCGTTCTCAATGGCTGGCGCAGATGCATCCACTCCTTGTGACTTATGATTTCCGATGAAACTGTTTTGTTCTTCGTTATTACTACTCCTTTGTCTAACACCTCTGTTTACTGTCTATATTATGCATTTCCCCTACTTTCTTCTCTTGCTTTGTGTGCTACAAGGAGGGAGTGTGGCGACTTGAACTGGCGCACATATGTGCAAAGTTCTATGTCGAAAACAGACAGACATGTTATCCCACTGAATTTAAACTAAACAGAACTCAACATTTAGCACCACTAGATTTGTGGCTCGATTATTATCCACCACTGGGTCATACGTTCGAACTCTACCTTGAACAGGTAGTATCATCAACGCTGATTATTATTACTATTATTCCCCCTGAGTTTCAAGTGGAATAATACAGGGCTTCAACAGCACACCTCCATCATATCACCGTCTCCGCAGTTCTGTTTAGCTGCCTCCCCGATGATTGCTCATAAGCTCTCATCTCCTCCTCATATAATCTCTTGCATGTTCACGCTCGGACCAACGCCCAACTTGCCGTCCCCCAGTCAAGTCCCTTTCGAGGGCATAGCGCGCACGATTTCACAGAAACTTCAATGCTCAGGGAAAATATCAGTGCTTATACAATAAGAGTACGTACAAACGGTTGTTGTTGTTGTTGAGAAATGGAAATTCACAAACATTTATTGACCAAATGTGAGGACAAAAACTGGGATTTGCACTAATAACCTTCACAGATCAATATCTGTCTAGTTAGGCTAAGGGACTTTGATTTTCGCCTACTTTCATCCTACATTAAACATCTAGTGAATATTGAATAATGAATGAAACTGTGAAAAAGTCTCCACATTACATCCACTTATTTATTTGATCATCATCATAAAGAAATTCAAGGTCGAAATGGCAACAAATATCTTTTTAGATGAATTCAAGCCTATAATCATTCGTACAATACACACACATGGCATTAGGGAATACTACTCTGACCTGGGACAGACTAACAGCACAAAAAAGTTTAGCAACAAAATAAAGATGGGAGGGGGGGGGAGAATAGCAAAATTGTACTAATTCGTTTTGATTTTTTGTTTAAAATATTTAATACATTGTGAATAATAATTAATGGTGATTTGAACAACGGGAGTTATAGTTGCTTTTTCTCTTTAACACTTGAATAGCAACAGGACTACTGCGAAACCAAAAACAAACTTCACGGGTACATCTTATTTAACACTGCTAAGAATAACTTGTAAACAATCAACAATTATCACAAATCAGTCATGAATTACAGGATGAAATACACCAAGTACACATGCACACACACACTGACAAATACAATCTGGTTTGGTTTTTGCATCAAAAGAGGTAGTGAGTGGGCAAGATTCATTGATTAGTCGAAGCGTTGTTAATTATGTTCTCCAATTCTTCAGTTGTGACACTTCCCAATAAACCTTGTATTTAAAAGAAATTAAATAAAGAAAGGCTTTGTCAAATCGAGTTGTATATACGTATATATATGAACATTTAAAGGAATCAAAGAAACAAACAGACTTTGATGTGGTTGTGTTCTCTGAACTGGATAGTTAATTTGCCAAGCTTTCATCACCCTACTGGGTGACATCTTCAGTAACCTAGAAGGTGTGAAAACACACAAAAACAACCAATCACGTCCAAAGTCGCCAGGAGAGATGATTAATAAACTCGTGGAGAAATCTAAAAGCTCACTTCAAATTGAATTATGCGCTGAAGATGTCACCCAGTAGGGTGATGAAAGCTTCGCAAATTAACTGTCCAGCTCAGAGAACACAACCACATCAAAATCATCCACCTGAGCTACAAATCTTCTCTATCATATCCAAAACAAACAGACTACTCGTGTAGTTCAAAACTTAGAGGAAGTCTCCAACTCAAGCCTTTCAATCAAATAACGACGACAATAGACAGTTTCATTAAATGTCAGCCTTCATTGTGAGAGAAATAATATAGAAATGAAACATGAGAAGGAATTAGGAGTGTGTACTAGGTTGTCAAACAACTGTGTTGTAATATCCAGTATACAGATAATGGGCAATCGTGGACCCAACTGAAGAGGACAACAACAAGTAGAACAAGGTGAGGATGTGTTGTTGAAACCCTATGTTCCACTCGGAACCCAAGGGAATAAACATAATAATATCCAGTATATGAAGTCCTTAACTGCTGGTTTGAAACACACAGGGAGGGAGCTGCAGACTATCTGACTGGGGTTCTCAAATACGCAAACATCCAATGGCTAGAGATTGTTGATAAAGTGGCTTAAAATCATCCTCAATGGCGATAGTGCTTTCAATCATTGCGACCTAGTAGATCTATCTATTAAATTCTCATTAATCAGCGTGTACTTATTCTTCTCCCCGGACATTTCTGTTCAATATAGTTCGTTTGGATTTTTTCCCTTACATTTATGTGTTTATAAATTGTGGCAGCTTCTACGTTGAGTCTTAGTATAAATTTGCTTATAGTGAACACACAAAGGTGAATTTAATGTCGACAAGAGGTGAGTATTAAGAATATCTGAACTAATGAGGTAAATAGGCTGAAATGATGCACTTTTTCTGCACCTCTAATTACATATTTTTTTTAAAATTATCCTCGTCCCATTAAAAATCAGTAGCGCTGAAGGTCCCGGAATTAGGTATGAACGCCACTGGCGAAAACCCATTAATTCCTTATGTTTGTCTAACTCGTAATGACTGTTGATAAAGCATTAACATGAAATTTTGCAAAGAAAATATTATTTAATTTATAAAAAACTTACCCATAACATCTAGAAATTCTTCTATACTTGCAATTGTCAATAGATTCTCTTCGAAATAGGCGAGTAACTTTGGAGCTGCAATCATTAATGCTTCATCTGATGTTCGAATATAGTGTGATAAAGAAGCTGCCCATGACGGTGTCTGTGATGTCGACGTACTACTGGACTTTGATTTAACCTCTGGTGCAACAGTCAACTGGACATTCTATGAAGACAAAAAAAAAACAACCGAAAAAGTCGATGCAACTGCTACAAATCAAAAGGGGTAAATGGAAACTTGTGCAAGGCTAAATAGTAAAAACAAAATTGTCAATACAAAACAACATTGAGATGTTAGGATTAATAGACATATTAGATTTTCGTCTTGTACAAGGAAAGATTGTACACTGGTAAGCAGTATCGAGGTTTTTCTTAGAAAATAGTGGAACATAGGGGGCTTCAGCAGAACATCTGTCTTCCACCGTGTTCACTGCAGTCGTCTTTAGCTAACTTCACAATTGTCCATATGCTTTCATCTTCTCCTCCGTCACACGATCTCCTCAATATCACTTTCGGACGACATCCATCTTATTGTTTCCCACCGAAATTTCACCCGGGGGCCAAGCACATGATGTCATTCAATGGTCACCATCATCTCCATTCTCTTCGGTATATATCTACTGGACAATAGGTTCTGGACTAGTAGAATTAGCAGAATTACTTGTTTCTTATCATTTCTGGCTGACTATCTGATCGATCTACAGTACAGAGCCAGTGAAGACAGCTGTTGATAAAAGCCTGAAGCTTGTTGGAAATTCCGCAACAAGTCGCTGAACCATATAGAGGCATTAACTTGACCACTAATTACAGTGTACTCATTCAAAGTGTTGATATAAATGTCTAACAATTGATCACATTTCAGTACCTAAAGGCATACACATCAGTGATAACAGATCTAAATGCCATCGGCATATAAGTATAAAACTTGGGCATTGTGGTAGAGTATAACTCCATTATAGATAAGATTTTATTTTGATAAGTCACACAGTGTTACTCAGTAATATGAACTGATGACGTTTCGAGCAAAAACTATTGCTCATGATCATATCAAGCTAGTCACACAACTTTTTCCTTCATTTATATACATGTGTGGAACTGACTAGATATTTGAATAAAAATCAATATGAGATAATGTACATTCAGAGATAATAACATGAGTGTTATTGATCAATTACAATTAGATGGGAAATACGACGAGTGTTTTTTTAGTCATAATAAGTAACTTGTTAGAATGTTGTGATGTGTTTGAATTGAAATAAAATTTTGAGATTATTTATTATCCTCCTCTGATTTGACTGGCGATAATAATATCTTCCATGTTTCTGGTATTTGCATTGAGTCATTCTTGTTGCATGTGTTGGGTGTAGACTCGATGAACATGCAACAGAAATGACTCAATGCAAATACCAGAAACATGGAAGATATTATTATCGCCAGTCAAATCAGAGGAGGATAATAAATAATCTCAAAATCCTGTTTCAATTCACGTACATCATAACATTCTAACAAGTTACTTATTATGACTAAAAAAACACTCGTCGTATTTCCCATCTAATTGTAATTGATCAATAACAGTCGTATTATTATTTCTGTATGTACATTATCTCATATTGACTTTTATTCCAATATCTAATCGATTCCACACATGTATATAAATGAAGGAAAAAAGTTGTGTGAGTAACTTGATGTGATTATGAGCAATAGTTTATGCTCGAAACGTCATCAGTTAATATTACTGTGTAACAACACTGTGTGATTTATCAAAATAAAATATTGTCCATAATGGAGTGTCATCGGCATAATTCATACATGAAACAAAACAATGCACAGAATGTGCGCATCAGTTCAAAGCAAGTGGAACTATAAAAACCGAATCTAATCTTTATTCACACAGTAAAGACAATGAAAAGATAAAACACGCATTGTCCCCACCGGACCTTAAAAACAAAATACACATGACACGGTTAAAAAAAATACAAATACAGTGTAAGTGATAACAGGTGCACTTACTTTGAATAAATATTCATAGATTGAATCAATAAGACCGAAATAAACCAAATACGGTTTAATCATTGTAAATCGACTATCAGCAGCACTACTGTCTGATGTGACACTGACTTCATCATTAGAACTGGTTGGATTGCTTAACCGTCCCACAGCCATATACAGAAGACTTTGTAATAGAGTTACTCTATTCTTTAACCATTCATCACGTGACCATAAGTGTAAGGCTGCTACTATACGATACAATGGTCCTGTTGTAATCCAACATTTATCTGATTTGATCCAACTATGAAAACACAAAATCGATAAAAAGTGTGTTAAGTGATATACTATGGTGTGAAACGCATATATATATATATATATATATATATATATATAAACATACTAGCAGTCAGATATAATACGTAAGGGCTAGTTACTCAGAAGCGAAGTTCGAAACAGTCAGTGACCAGTTCAGAGTCAAGTATAGGGTGGTGGTGATGCGGCAGTTCAACTAAATGCACAGAGATAGAATTTTTTATCCAATCATAAACTATTTGAAAAATATAAAATTCTCTTCAATAGTGGTCAAAGAACACCACCAACTTTACAACACGACAATCAGTGGACTCAAAATTTAGCCTGAAGCAACAGTTTGACAATCTCTACTATTAGTCAATAAACTGTGTCGCATAGGCACTTCAAAGTTCAGTGGTTTATGTTTCCATAGTGACATGTTTCAATTTCAGTTACCGCTCCTACTAACTGTAATTATACCCTACAGAGTTTAACTAGAAATTCGGTGGTCTCATGGAAAGATGGATCTTGGAGCACATAAAGAGTGAATATATATTTGCGCCACCGGGAACTCTGTTTTGACCCATGTCACAAATAGTCTCTCAAGCCGTTGGATATTAGCGACTCCAATCATCAGATAGTCTATATCTCCTTATGTGACTCAAACCATCGGACAAAGATTTCATACATCAATGCCATGTTCTAAGTTGACCGGTCCTAACGTTTTTCCAACCTAATCCTATAATAGGATGGTCATCTAACATTGCTCGATGAAGAAGATGGTGGCTTGGCATGCGAAGCTTCACAATCTTATCGATTAGCTTTCCTTCTTTATATAGCACTCTAACGTCTAACTTCATTATTACTGACCATGTTACATCACTTAACAGGGGAGAGAAAGTGCAAACATCTGTGACTAGTATGACAGATAATTTTCTCATGTCTTCCACATTCATCAATGGCCATAAAGAAAGACAGGGAAAACTACTATGCTTCGTAATACAATAACAGTCATTTTTTTTTAACAAGTAGAACAACCAGGAGATGGCAAGTACACATGAAGTATCTATTGGGATGAACAAACATTAAAACTAAACACACACACACACACAAAAACTTACTAAGTTCCAGACACTTCAGTAAACTGTTTCAAAGCTTCTAGTTCTTGATCAACTTGGGAACTCATCAGTAATGTGTGTAAGTAGACCTGTATGTGAAAAAGGAAACATCAATTTCATGTAAATTTAAGGCAATGAATACAGATCTATTCGGAAAATATTTCTCAATTAAAAAAGTTCAAACTCCACTGAAGAACACACACAATATAACGGGGGTCTATGGACTATAACAACAGATTAAACTGACAGAAATTAAAAATTGCATAAGAGACCAACAAACTTTTACAGTTAAGTAAGGCAAAAGAATAACAAGACATACATATGCAGGACATATCTTTATTGAACTTTATTACAAAGATAAAGAACATCTGCCAGCTTCGATGGGTCATTTGTGTCTTTTGAACAGTATTTCTATAGGGTGACCACTAGATAACTACACCAATCACTAATTTCGCTATAACCGATGACTTTTGAAATTAGTTAGTGAACTACCGAAAAACCAGGGAATACTGGATAGTTATTTCGTCGTAGTTGGTGACTCTTCAGAAGCACGCATCCATTGTGAACAACAGGGTCAGTTACTCGCCTATGACATTGACTGACGCTTGTGTTATACATCACGAATTGACAGAAATTGGAATTCATAGGCCGATAGATCGAGTCGCAGTGGCTGAATGGTCTACGAAGGTCTTGGGCTTGAACCCTGATGGGTTTGTACTGCTTTAGGGACCTAAACTAGAACGAAACAGCTGTTCAGTACTTCCTGGTTTGCCAATGGTTCTCAAACTGATGTCAACTCGTGGTGAAACCTGTAACCAACTAAATCCCTGCAAAACAACACTTCGAAATGCATTCATAATGAAATATGCGAAATGTCCTCAAAACGTAGAGCAATCACACTTACTTAAATCCTAGAGGTTAAGCATAGTCTGCCGTAACATTGAGCCTAAATGCTAGATGCATACATAGATACTAAACAGTACTACTCTAAACGACGCAAACTATGAGACAAACCGCCACCACACACACACACACACTCTGAGTATTTGTTTCAAGTCTACAAAGTTATCAGTAAAGTTGACTATAGATAACAATTCAGTTAAACGTGGCAAGACGTTATTTCAATTATTAACAGCCTGGTAATAATGACAAAAAGAATAGTATAGTTAGTGATGGGAGAAATGTACTCTCTTTTTTTCTTCTTTTTTTACTTACTTGCATTAAATGTGGCAATAACTGCATATTGCTTTCTTTTCCACCGCCACCAGTTTCAACAGTGAATGTCTTGTTACAAGCGAAACGCAACAGTAACAGTTTGATATCATGTAGAGCCATCACGTAACCAGGACAAATATTAAGTTTATGCTGTAAGAATAATAATAATGGTAGGTAGGATGCAATATGTAGATTTTATGATAGCAGGCCCAAAAATTCAAACAGGCCGCCAACAGATTTATGAATGAAGAAGTGAAGATATATATAAAAGTATGCATGTAATACAGTTGGACAAAATTAGAAATAAGAATTATCTCAAGCCCTTAAAATGCGGCAAGTGATGATGATGGTGAGGATAAAGCATATCCCCGAAATAAACTACTTTTAAATGAGCACCACAGGTGCGTCGGTGGCACAGAGGTGGAATGCTCGCCAACTATGCAGGTGGTTCAGGGTTGGATCTCCGGCCAACACCCTCGTTTACCTCGCTAATCCAGTATATAAGACTGGTAAAGAGCGAAGGATGAGTATGAGGTTAGCAACCTCATCCCGTAAAAATAAATAACACTGCTACCGAAACTTCAAGCCTCTAGCTTGAAGCCCTATGTTCCACTGGGAACATAAAGGAATAAAAAAACCCACTGCAATATACAAATACAAACGGCTGTCTGTAAACAGAATCTTGTCATGTCACAGCTTACTGTAGCAAAGTGAGGATTTTCTGTCATTGAAACTCTACTTTTACAATGCTTAGATAAAAGTAATTTTCAATGGAATTGTGTAATAGTTTGTCGAGATTGTAGGAAATTTTGAACCACTTAGATGGCATGTTGGCGTGGTGTGACCACGATACTCTTTACATGTTGATTTCAAGCGTTCATGTTTCAGCTGAACTGTGGTTAATAGCTAAGTAGTAACATCTCTGACTGCAGCACTGGTTGACACGAGTTCAAATTTCATAAGAGACATGAGTTCCTTCAAGGTTGCAGATACACCTTGCTGACTGACCGGTGAGCGCCATGTAGCACGAAACCTAGGTCCAAGGCTTCCTACCGACTGCCTCCAACCATCTAATATCGACAATTCAAAGTGCACCGTGATGGCGAGCTACCTAGAATGGTGACCACGTTGCAAACCTGACTGATAGAATTCAGTTTGTACCAAAGAAAGGACTAGACGCATTACACTAGTTACTAGTGTTCAATCAATTGAACTGTATTCACATGTTACTACCATAAGAAGTAAGGGATAAATGGAGGGATATATTTTTCCTACTAAAATGGTTTATTTCTTGTAGCAACTATTCTTACTTTTGACATAGATTCAATTTATGAAGATTTCATAGATTGGTTAAGAATTTTTGCAATTATTTAAAAGGAAGCACTGATCACTTTCAGTTGTACATACGAAGTGTTTTGAATGCAGTAGAATACATATATTAGCATAAAACCATGGAAACGCAATTTTATATGCGTAACTTCGACGACTTTTGTTTTATTCCTTTACATTCCCAGTGGAACATAGGGATTCAAACTTTAGCTTTGAAGTTTCAGTAGCAGTGGCGTTGTTACGGGATGGGGTAGCTAGCCTCACGCCCAACCCTCCCTCCTTGTCTAGCTAAGGCACGCAAAGGAATGCACCGGCCAGGACTCGAACCCCGGACCACGTGCATGGCCGGCCAGCGCCCTACCACTGAACCACCGACGCACAACTTTGATGACTGCTGCTTAGATATGACTGTCAAGCAGCATTTACAGCCACAGACTAGCAAGACGACAGAACAAATTAGGGTAAACAAAAGGAACTTACTTCATAGAAATACTTCTTGTGTATGTATAAAAAAAGAGATTTACATAAACCAACTTACCATAATGAATTCCATGAAGTTAGCCAAATGGCTACTATATACTGTATCTGGTGATTGTTGTTGTGTAGACTTCGATGCAGTTTTATTATCCACTGATGTACTATCAGTACTCGAAGTTGCACTAATACTAATTGGTGGATTGAGTATAGGCAGAATATTATTGCAACCAACATCCCAATTATGGCGTTGAGCCACTACCCATTCATTTTCTGATGAGGCTCTAAATGACTATAAAAAAATACAAGCAGACATAGACAATGATCTGATGAGTATGTGAAGAAATAATTCAATGGTAAGTATAATATGGTTGATAATTTCTATTTGCTGTTCATAAATCATCAAACTCTCTGACAGTACACTAGAGTTCATTACAATCAGATATTTTAGAACTTAAGAGTCAGTCGTTGAAAATTATTGAGGCGAACACATTGGCGTCCAATTACCAGTACCGCATGTCTATAAAATTAGTAGATGATACAGAAGGAAAGTTGGTCAATTTTGATGGTAATGACGAGGGGGTATGAAATCTTTATCTTGCGGAAATATCTTGTATAACAATTAGTATCATCCGAAAAACAACTCTTCTGCTTCCACTAACAGTCTTCCATCTTAAGTATACGATAAACAAAACTCAGAGTGAGATTCTTCTTTCAGCCAGCGTATGTACTGACAAACATGTCTCCACAGTGAAGACTGTAATTCTACAGATTTCCATCAACGGATGCCTTCACTGCCTCAACACTGTACACTGGACCAGGTAGGATAAGCAAGGAAGGACTCTGTCAGAGAACCAGTCAAGATCTCACTACTCAACAACTATGCACAAGGAAATGCAGATGGACTGGACACATACGTGCAGGAGACATTTAAGTGCTATCACACGCCAAGCCCTCAAATGAGACTCGAATAGGAAGTGATGAACTGGAGCAGATCATACGAAAAGGAAATGAAAGCTTGTGGGCAGTCATGGAGCCGGCTAAAAAGACAACAGAGAACCAGGTGCAATGGAGATGTGCTACCCCAAATTCCACTCCGCACGAATAATAATTTAGAAGAATTCAAAAGTGACCTCACATTTGCAGACTAGAATGAGATAACTTTCCAACAGTAAATTTGATTTCCAGTCGTTTTTTTTTTAAAAAAAAGGTACACAGTATTTATATAAAATTCTGTGAATTCTAAATATATACATAAATATTAAATAAGGGAAAAAAATAACTTACCTTTGTATGACATGAAAAATGTACAATTACAAAATTTGACAAAGTTGAATAACCATCAGGTATATTCTGTGGTGGATTATTGCCACTGGTCGATTCACAACCAGTCATACAGAGATTCTCTTCTAGTGTACATCGACGAACGTAGACATAAATACCAAGTGGTTCATTCGGAGCAATACGTTGTCCTTCATGGCATATAACACAGGATAGACCTGTTTCCTCTTGAACAACAGCAGTCATTTTATTCAATCGATCTGTCTCCACCATAGCAACCTAAATTTGAAAAACAACCATATATATTACATGAAAAGATTATTTATATATATATATATATATATATATATATAGCGAAGAATAAAAGAAATGAGTGAGCCTTTATTCGCTGTGAGTTATAGCTAAAATGAGCGATAGAGATGAGATGGGAGGAGAAACTGCTGGGTAGTATAGTCGACGTTTGATAGTGGGTTGACGCGACAAATAGGTTAAGTAATGGGGTAGGAAACCGTTAGAGGTAATAAGCAAAGCTTTTATAAAACCAACACTCAAAGATGTAGGTGGAGGGGGGTTATGAATGGACTAGAATTTGAACGTAATAATCCAAACGCATGAAAACAAACCAAACAACATACATGTCGTCCTTATACTATCAGCCATCGTAAAGAGACTTTTATATACACTCACAGTAGGGGAAATGAAGTAACCGAAGATAACTTCAGTTCCCAATATATTCAAACATAAATTAGGAGTCGATGTAGATCGATCTCCTGTAGGATTTTACGCTTGTAAGGTGACAAAAGCAAACTAAACCTGTTAAAATACGTCTGCTGTAACAAAGTCAAGATCATTCGTTTGATTTTTACAATAAGAATATGGAATGATAATACATCTACTCAGTACAGAGAACATGTTTTATGCATTACCTCTAATAATGGAATTAATTAATTGAAAATATGTAAATTTCACATAAACAACAGGAATTTCAATTCGTACAAGAGAACAACGGGTATTTTAGACTACCAGTAGACAACATGTTGCTAAGTTATTCAAAAGGCATAGGATTTGAGTGAACTAGCTATTTGGATACATTCTAACGTATTTGAACAGCCTAGCAACATGTCATTTACCTCCAGTCATATTTTATCGAAATAAAAGTTAAGGCGAACTTCCAAAATGAATATTTTCCAAGTGAACTTTTGCTAGCATAGTTTATCCACTCAGGTGAATGTGTTTATTGTCCAAACGAGAAGTAATCCCAACGAATAGATCAATTTGTGAACAAATACATTTAATACTACTACTACTACTACTAACGTGACAATTTAGTATTCATAGGAACCTATTAATTGTCTTAATTTACTATCGCTTAATAATGGTCATGCAGAGGCTTTATATACTGTCTATAAGATATTTTTACCACTCACATATATACATATGTAGAAGATAAACGAAAACGCCTTTCAACAGCTAGTTAGTTTGAAAAAGAGTAGCATTTCTTTACATTATGGTGTTTTGTAGAGATTTGGATTAATTTCAATGTACATTACATCACGAACCAACATCGGTTAGAGGATCATTAGAAACCAGGGAGAACTGGAAAGCTGTCTCGTCCTAGTTTAAGCCTATTTACAAGAAACAGCTGTCCAGTGCTCTCTAGCATTAAATAATTCTCTAACTGATGTTGGTTAGTGACGAAATCGATACTGAAATAAATCCGAATTCTTACAAAACGCATAATTTAAACATCAACCTCCAGCTCACTGGGCAGCTACTGAATTGAATGGATGTCTAGAGGTTGTGATGAGAAGTCAGTGAGGTCCCCCAATGTCAACGTGAAGTCGACACTCATCTGTAACATTGGTTGGTGGTAGCGCTATTTCACGAATTTCAATGACTTCATTTTCAAGCTGTACAGTTGTATTTATATAACGGAAAAAGACATTAGGTGTGTTCTCTGTGTAGCTGAACACTACCCGGTTTGGTGAATGAAAGATGAGCATAGGACGATAGAGTCTTCAATTTGTAGACAAATTCTAGAGTCAGGTCATTCAGCCCCAAGTGATTCATCCTTTCGAAGTTATTTACACGACCAAATACACAACCACTCTAACAGCTTACGTTTTCTCCATTTATGCATAGCCGAAGCTCTAGATATACATGGACAGAAACTTAAATTATGCGTTCAAAAACTTTTTGTTAAACATCTTTCTTTACCCTGGTCATAGTTATGTTCTTTTATGTTGATTTTATTTTACTACTTGAATTCCTTCCACTTCACTTCACCTTCGCTGTCTTCCCTATTATCATCATCGTACTGTTAATTTTTCTAGACAACACGACCTACAGTTTTAAAATCTTAACATCAATTCACTCGTTTAGTAATCTTTAAAAGTTTTGTAATTCATCCACTTCAACTCTATCCCCTTAATACGTCATTTTAACTACCTTTATTCTTATCATATGTGTAATATTGACTGAGCAATTTCTAGTGCCACTTAATGCCATTTTCCGTAATATAAATACGACTGTATAGTTTGAAAGTGAAGTCGTTGAAAAGAGATATTTGACTAGACACTAGTAACTAGTGTGATGCATCTGGTCCTTCGTTTGGTACAGGCTGAATTCTGTCAGTCAGGTTTGTATTATGGCCACCATTTTAGGTGGCTCGCCATGACGGCGCACTTTGGATTCTTGATATTAGATGGTTGGAGGCAATCGGCAGGAAGCCCACTACTCACTACAGTTCGACAGGTCAATCGCGAGGCCAATAGCTCAGTGGTAACATCTCTGACTGTGGCCAAGATGGCTTCAAGTTTTAATAGGGTTGGCGTCGTAATATGAAGGTCCTCGGTTCGATCCCTGGTGGGGTCATGGATGAGTGCTGCTATATCCAGGTGCTCCCTAGTTTTCAATGGTTTTCTAACTGATGTGACTAAATCTACATTGAAATTAATATTTCTTCGACAAAAAAGAAATACTGAATTCTACGTATAAACAAACATTGAAAAAAAAAGATAATTCAATAATGAAAATAAACCATAAAACCTTACTTGGCCTTTTTCATTAACACGCATATTAAGACTACGTAAGCGTTTTTGACGCATATTTTGTGCTAATGATCTAGCACGTCGTATTGTTGCTTCGCGTAGATTATGAATAACTTGACCGATTGTACGATTCCCTATAGACTGAACAGTAGTTGTACGGTTGTTATCTTCTTTACTAGCCCAATCATTTAACATGTCTTCAGCCAGTAGACCAACACGTCCAGACGATTTACTCGTTTCCAACTGATGGAATAAATGCAATAGCTGATTGGCTTCAATTCGTTTCTTGCCTTTTTCAACATTATCCTCAGGTTGATTTAGAATAGTTTCGACTTGATCACCATCCACAGAGACTTGCATCAATTGTAAAATATACGGTAATGATGGTTCAGATAGAAATTTAACAATTTCAGGATCACTTGTACTAGGTAATAAAGAGGAGAAATGAGACAACAAAGATATAAATAGACTTGAATGGTACAACAGAAGGGGTAGACAAAGTAGTATTATAACTTTATATACTTTTGCTTATCAAAAGACTGCAACACAATGGACAAAGTTATTCACAAACTTGTTAATTATGTATGTACACGAGGAGGTCAATGTGTGCGGTCAAAGAAATATTTTTTTGACTCACAACAGTAGTTACTGAGTAAGGTCACGTTGAAAGTTAAGTTAGATAAAGAAGGGAGGTCAACTAATGAGGTTGTAAATCTACATAGACTGAGATGGCTAAGACATGTGTTAAGCACGCCAAACCAATGAATTCCTCGTTGAGTAATATTAACAGCTGGCACAAAACTAGGTTAGAAAAGGATTACAGGTGGTCAAACCAAGGATCTAGCATTAATCCATGAAACCCTTGGCAGTTGGTTTCAGCCAGTCACGTAGGGAGGTGTAAACTATCTGGTTGGGGTCCTCGGGATGCTGGAGGCGGTTGGTGACACGGTTCAAAACCGTT